ATCAAGTTCGATGCAAGAAAATTGCTTCATAACAACAGGGTACCGATAGGAAAAATTGTAAGAGCCAAATGGTCAAAACGAACCATGCTCATGTAGTTGGCCCGAGCCCTGACGCAAAACATGAACACATGTATGATGACTTGCAAAGAAAGTTTTCTTCTTTACCGATATCTTATATCCAAGAAATATTCCTCTATTTCGAGATTTATTATGCAAACAGGATTAAGGTAAATCAACGAGTTCGAGCAACACTCACTCGACTATTATGCCTACGGGCTACATTACTTCGAGTTCGAATCATTCACTCAACTACTAAGCCTACGTGCTACTTTTATTCCGAGTTCGAGCAAGCACTCACTCGACTATTACGCCTACGGGCTACATTACTTCGAGTTCGAATCATTCACTCGACTACTAAGCCTACGGGGTACTTTTATTCCGAGTTCGAGCAAGCGCTCACTCGACCATTATGCCTACGGGCTACATTACTTCGAGTTCGAATCATTCACTCGACTACTAAGCCTACAGGCTACTTTTATTTCGAGTTCGAACAAGCACTCACTCGACCCTTACGCCTACGGGCTACATTACTTCGAGTTCGAAATTATTCACTCGACTACTAAGCCTACGGGCTACTTTTATTCCGAGTTCGAGCAACACTCACTCGACCCTTTACGCCTACGGGCTACATTACTTCGAGTTTGAATCACTCACTCGACTAATAAAACCTACGGGCTACATCATCTCGAGTTTGAGAAATCACTCACTCGACTAACAAACCTACGGGCTGTATTGCTTCAAGTTCAAACAATCACTCAACTCGACTACTAAACCTATGGGCTACCTTATTTCAAGTTTGAGTAATTGCTCACTCGGATATAAAGGCTACGAAGTTCAAATTCGATCAAATTACCTAAAGCCTTATGAAAACATTCATAAGGCATGAATAAAATAAAATCTTCACAAGGTAGGAAATTAAACAGAGGCAAGTCGGTAAAAGAAAAAGATATTTATATATATATACAAGATTGTTTACATGATTGTTTGCAACACAGAAATTAAGGGCTAAGTTTCTTGGTTATCTCTGGGAGCGGTCTCTTCTCCATCGGGCTCCTCCACGTTCTCGGACCCGCTCTTGCTCCCATCATCGTCATCATCATCATCATCATCGTTATCATCGGAAGCCAAGGATTCAGCATCGACTTCGAGCTCTTTAGCCCTTTTTATCTCTTCAGTGAGGTCGAAACCTCGAGCATGGATCTCCTCGAGAATCTCCCTCCGAGATCGGCACTTAGCAAGTTCAGCAACCCAATGTGTTCGAGTATCGGCAGTCTCGGCTGCCTCTATTGCTTGTACCTGGGCAGCTTCAGCATCGGCCCGATAGACGGCTACGAGTGCATCTGCATCGGCCTTTGCCTTTTCGGTGTCAGATTCGGCCTTGGCAAGTTCAGAGGCCAACCGAGCCTCGAGCTCCTCTATTCTTCTTGCTTGAACCGAGCTTTTCTCCTTCATACTTTGAAGTTAGTTTTCGGCCGATGATAATTGGGCTCGAGCAGCCTCTTTCTCTACAGCGAAGCGGTCCATACCTTCTTTCCACTTCAAGGACTCCGCTTTTATCACATAGACCTCCTCACGGAGTTTTTCGATCATCTCAATTTTCTGCTGCAGCTGTGAGATCGAAAAATTGGCCATCGTTCTGGTATCGAGCTCATAGGCTTTTAAAAGTATCATTACCTGCTCGGACAGATCGGTCTGATCTTGGTGAGCCTTAGCCAACTCAGCTCGGAGGTCTTTAATTTCCTCTCCCCTTTGCCCTAAGAGGAGTTTAAGGGAGTTCTTCTCCTCCGTGACCCGTCGAAGGTCGGCCTCGTATCGACGCAGCTCAGTTCGAGACCGAGAACATGCTTCTCGATGAACTGCTGCGGCCTGCAAAGAAAGAAAAAACGAAGTTAGAAAAAGAAAACACGCATAAAAGCATTACCAATGAAGTGAGTTAAGGCTTACCTGATTCAAAGCCTGCTGCACTCCGAGGAGAAGATCTGATGTATCACTAGTGCCGACAACGTCCTCGACACCGGTAAACAAATCACGAAAAGGATCATCTCCCTCATGAGATCCATCTACCTTAAGGGCACCCAAAGCTTGGGCTTCCCGAATCGCCCCTTCGGAAAAAGCAGGGAAAGTGGGCGAGTCTTCGATTACTACTGCCCCAAGTGAGTCACTTGGGGTGTTCTCTTCGGTTCGAAGAGAGTCAGGAACGACCCCCTCAGTCATATCCACTATTTGTTGACTTCGATGGGAGATATCCTCGATTCCCAATGGCTCGGGGACTTTGCCCGAATCTTTCTCCGATATATCCTCAGTTCGAGGCGGAGCCTGGTAAACCACCATCGATCCAGTTTCCCGTGGGGCGTCGATGGTTTTCTTCATTCGGGCCATCAGTATGGGCCCATCATCTTTTTCGTCTTCCTCGTCTTCATCCCTCAAACGCCGAAGTGATTCTGAGGTTAAAGGTATGGTATTCTTCTTCGACTTACGAGCCTTCGGTTTTGGGTTTTCGGAAGTAGAGGCCCTCTTTCTCTTATTGTCCTTCGCCGGTTTAGAAACCGGGGCCGAAGTTTCCTCCTCGCCGGACAGGGGTCTCAAAACCGCATCCTTGCCCAAACCTACACACAAGAAAATTGATTTAAGTATACGGAAAACAGTTCGAACTATCAATGATGCGAGAAAGGAGCTTACCATAATTTTTGGCCTCCCATCGACCCTTGGACAAATCACGCCATGAGCGCTCGGCATATGTGAAGGTCGAAGCCAGATCTCGTACCTAGTTCTTGAGATCGGGAACTGCGTCTGGCATCCAGGGAACCGCTGCATCACAAAAAGGGGATACCGGTGAGAAATAAATGAAAGGGCAAAATAGTAGGGGATAACAACAGAATTACACTTACGCTTCATGTTCCACTCCTCGGGAAAAGGTATCTTTTCAGTCAGAATTAGGTCCGAAGTCCTTACTCGAACAAACCTGCCCATCTAGCCTCGATCCATGTTCTCGTCTATGCTCGAGAACAGAACCTTGGTAGCCCGACGCTGAAGTTTTATTAACCCGCCTTGAAAGAGGCGAGGACAGTAGAATCGGATGAGATGGTCAAGGGTGAAAGGCATCCCCTCAATTTTGTTCACGAAGTATCAGATCAAAATAACGATATGCCAAAAAGAAGGATGGATCTGGCCTAAGGTTATTTGGTATTGGCGGCAGAAATCGATAATAACGGGATCGAGGGGGCCTAACGTTAAAGGGTAAGTATACACACTTAAAAACCCTTTCACATAAGTGGTGATATCTTCGTCAGAAAATGGGACTACTATTTTTTTGTTCTCCCAATTGTAATCTTTCTTTAGCTGTTTGAGGTGTCTCTCGATTATCGAACACATATACCTCGATACCGGCTTACTTCGGCCCAGAACCAAAGAGACTTGGTCGACCTTAAAATCGGAGGTAAGAACACACGCTGTCGGGACGCACTCCTCAGGCCGTGGATCCACCGGTGTTTTGTCAGCGACAGATTGGGAAGAAGAAGCTTTTTCTTTTTGGGGAACGGTTTTTGATGTTTTCAGCAGTTTTGGATTTAAAAAAAGTGACAAAGATTTTGTGGTTTTGAAGAAGGATTTTGTAAAAACGAATCACAGATTTGCGAATGAACTCAGAAGATACGAAAAGGAACTTAGAAAATTTGGAAGATTGAAAAGTGATAAATGGTAAAAGGAAGGGTTATTTATAGATTGAAGCAATGGCGGTTCAATATCAGCGGTGGCCGACCACCGTCTGACACACATTAAATGCCTTGGTAAGCTAAACCGACGGGACAGTTATCACGTACGTCATGGTCGGGCTCGATACAAACGTCAGTGCATGTCCAATCGAGCCATTGAGAAATCATATCGTTTCCCACCACATCCTTCCCGAGAAACGAGGGGACTATCTGTATACGGTCGAAATTAATTTCGGCATTCGTACGACTGATCGAGATGGGATCATAATAGACCAAAGAAAGACTTCGTAATATCGAGATGGGTTCTGAAGATGGTACGGACGAGCTTCAGATTTCAGGTATAGGTCAAACACCGAGTTCGAAGTCATTATCGAGCTCGGGTCCGAATCAAACTATGATGAGATGTTGTGGAATCGAGCTTAAGGGACAGAGGCCAACCGATACCGAGCCCGAATCATCACCTGATACCGAGTCGGCATCGAGCAAGTCCGCATCGAGCTCTAAAAACAATACCGACCAGCACCGAGGGTGATCGAGCTCGAGCTCACAGACAAAGAGCCGTTGCAAACGCACTAAGGGAGAGAATCTCGGCGGGAATTAGGAAAAAACTGATTTATCATGGGTTCCCCACGATGTATTTTTAATTATATCTAAAATAGGATCCTCCACTATAAAGAGGATGGCTACATTTCTGTAAAAGACAGTTCTTTGCTTACATTGTAACTAAAACACCATACACTCCTATATTGAAGAGTTATTCTTTTAAGTTTCATAGATTGATTCATCTTGCTTAGTCCTAAAAATCATCTTCTTTCCAACCTTGTTTATTTTGCATTTTTTGTAATCCGTATTTGATATTTTTATTTATCCTTACAATTTGTATTAAGTTATACCACATATTCTTAGAACTACGTACAAATTCAACTCTATCCGTTTTTCGGGTAAACAGTAGTGCTGGGACATAATTGAAATGCATGTAATTTACTGTTGGAAACTTGTTAGCAGATAACATTTAGTAAATATTTTTGGTTACTGAAATACAGTTAGTTTAACAAGGTCATAGAGTAGACAAAGATTTTCGGTTATTGTAATCATGATTTATTCCTGTATGTTGTCCACCACGTCAAAGATATTATACTCATCTATAATCATAATACTCTTATGAGCATGAATAATAAACTATCTCGCATCTTTAATAGCATACGCGTTTCTTTTCTTTCTTTTGCGTAGTCCCTGCGAACTATGACTCGAAGAATGATACTGAGTCAAGAAGAGATGGTATGTATGTAATTATTTTGTGGTCTTTCTTTGTAACTTTTCCCCCTTTCCTTTTGCATACTTACGTAATTCACAGTTTCACACCTTAGGAAGAGGTTGTTCTCAAGAGGTGTTGGCTTGCACGCTATTGGAGTTTATGCGTCCGCTATGGTATATTAAATTTCTTGTGCCAAGAATTTTTTCTGACTTGTGGTGCTTAATATATCTAGACAATTAGAATTATATTTGTGTTCTTAAAGTAAAACTGTGATCACTAAATTACTTTATTTTATAAATGATTTTCTAGATAAACCATGGAGTTACTTTCCTTTAAGCATTGAAGCATTGAGATTAAGACCTCAATGTTCCTTTAATATTGTACTTCTTTTGGGACACCTTGACCACATTTATTGGCGTAAAAATAAATTTCTTCTATTACTTTTCACAATCATCAGCTTTCTTTTTCTTTTTCTTTTTTTGGCATTTAGGACCCCAGTTTCTTCAACTATGCCTTCTTCTCTGCTCCGCCTTCTACGCATAAAATTGAGAAGTCATTGTAGTTGAGTTTGTTTTCGGATGTCACTTGAAAATGGACACTGGAAATTACATAAAACTGTAAACTATAAAAAATGATTATTAAACCACAATAAATAAATGTAACTTTTATAAAAATTACATTCCCTAAATTGTTTGATATTAGCTCCTAGAGTTAGACTAACTAAACCTGGTGCTTACCGAGTGCGAATGACTTTCTTCTGAGAAGTAGAATCTGATATTCTTTCATCTCTTTTGCTAAAATCTGAAGAATTCGGAGAATTATGACAATTCTAGCCTAGGGGAAGAATGGGAGAGAGAGAGAGAAGAGAGACATGAAGGTCAAATATTTTGGGAGTAAATGAAACTGCTTCTTCTTTATTAGCTCAATCGGATATTTATGTACAAGGATTAGTTAACTAACTAACTACAACAAACTCTAGGTAATCACTAATTAAGCTACAACTAATATCCACACAGCTGTCATCCACCACCAGCTCAGCTCCAGTTCTGCCTTGCCACGTTCTAAACTTCACTTACCCGATGTAGCTCTATCATATATGGGTCATTTGGTTGCTGGTTAGGATTATGCATGTATTAGTTATGCATGTATTAGTTATGCAGGTATTAATTATGCAAGGTTTAGTTATGCAGGTATTAATTATGCAAGGTTTAGTTATGCAAGGTTGAGTTATATTGGGATTAGTTATGCGGTAGTTATATAAGGATTAGTAATATAAATGTAATGTGAGTGTTATTTATTATTAGCTTACTTTATTTTATTAAAATTGTTAGTATAGTTTAAATATATATATATATTTTTAAACAAAAAAATACAAGTTTGAATAAAGGGTATTCTTGTCATTTTGTATTTTAATAAAAGTATTTCTAATATATGTATAAGTTATTCCACCTTCTATTCTGCATAAATAATACATAGATTCCCTCATAACTTATACATGTATTAGTTATGCGGAAAAGAAAAACATGAACCAAACATTGTATTAGCAATGCTACATTTTATGTGGAAAAGAGGAAAAAACAACCAAACATTGTATAACTTATGCTAGCTTTTATGTGGAGATTATTTTTTCCCCTTCTTTTAACCAAACAATGTATAAAGTTATCCTAATTTTAATACATGGATAACTCATCTCTAACCGGCTACCAAACGACCCACATTATATACAAAAATATATTTGTACGTCCTTGTCTCTTAGATTTATTCATGGCCAAATACCTATGCGACCCCTTAAACTTGGCTCCAGTTTTTATTTTAACACTTTAACTAAGACCAGTACCTATTGAACACTTAAACCTTATCTTACTTATACCTATTAAACACATTTTTTATAACTCTCAACAGACTTCAACGCGTGAAGCTACTTGCCATTGACCTAAAAAATGACACCAATAAGAAAAAGACAAGTCAGCAGAGAAAAAGAAGAGTAAAAAATCTAGAAAGGAAAAAAGAGAAAGAGAAATGGGTTTCATTCAATCTGCTTAAATGCTGAGTATTGGGGAGAGTCTCCTATGGAATCTGATTTCTTTCAAGTTCTGCAGCAGATTGACGATGTATGAGATTGGTCCATTAACTAAAAAATAAATATCTGAAGACAAAAAATAATTTGAAGTTCAGGGAAAATTTGCAGAGCTTCATGGTCGAAAAATTCTCCATCGTCGTCTTCTTCGTCAATCTCATACTTCACCAATTTTTTTTAATCCAATTTCTGATCAATTTTAGTTATCTCATCAATTCAACCTTCTGAGTCAACTTGTTCTTCGTCTCTGAATTTTTAAATCTCCGTTTCATGTAAGGAGGGAAGGGAAAGGATCGAGGCTGGTGGTGGCAGTGGTGGGTAGGAAGGAGGAAGAAGGGGAAGGGTGGAGGGTGGTGTGCGGAGAAAGAAGAACGAAGGAAAATGGTCGCACCAATAGCGGAGGAGCGGCAGTAATGGAGTTAATAAGGTGGTGATATGATTTCTTTAGAAAAAGGGGTTTTTATTTAAATAAAAAAGAAGAAAAAATATAATTTCAGATCCATTCACGCGCTTAAGAGTAGTGAAATACATATTTTTTTGCCATGTCAGCTATTGTGTTTAGTAGGCACAAGTAAGACAGGGTTTTAGTGTTCAATAGGTACTGGCTTTAGTTAAAGTGTCAAAATGAAAACTTAAGCCAAGTTTAAGGGGCCGCATAGGTATTTGGCCTTTATTCATCCTTGATTTCTCCTTTACCTTCTGTACACTTTTCTAGAACCTATTAAAACACTTTCTGCTCTGGATGTGATCCCAATTGTTTCATCCTATTTCTGTAAACTATCCCAAAAAGTATTTTCCAAATAATTGTGAGAGTTACAATGAATCTCTAATTGTCTTTTCCCTTTTAGCTTATTGGCAAAATTGTCAAACAAGATATATTTAATCTTTTTCTTTTTTGTGAGATATTTTTTTTTAAGTGCATTTTATTGGGAGTAGTAAAGAAAGTTAAGAAGTATCATTACAATCAGGAACTAATCTGGGAGATGTAGTTCCAACCAAGTCTTCACGATAATGAAACAACGCAGATAAAGGAGGAGTATTCCAGTAGGAAGGCTCTAAGTCTTTGTGAGAAAAGTTTGATGTTGAGTGAATGTCCAATAATGTTCTCAAAATGTTGGCTTTCTATAGAATATGCCAAAGTGACATGTCTTGGTAAATAATGTTATTTATCTAGTGTTCTTCAAATATTTTAGACAAAGTAACAATCAATGAAGTAGGGAACCCTTAATAAGTTAGATTTCCAACATAAGCATTAGTCAATATGTAAGAAGATCAATATGAACACAAATATAAACTTATCTGAAAATAAAAGAGAAAATCTCAAATCCATTCTAATTTATGTTCTTCTACTGTGTAAAATCTGTCATACCCTTTAGGAGGTTCATCACATGAAACCTTTTTTATTTTTCTTTGAAACGTACAAGATATGACAAAAATGTTACTACATGTCTTCAAAAAGAAGTAGCATATGGACAGTTGAATCCTAAGCAGAAATTTGAAGTGCACAATTTGTATGGGGGAAGATAGGGGATACAGTGAAATTATAATCTGCTCAGTATCAGTACCTAAGTGGGCGTTTGGACGTAAGAATTATAAAATTCCAAAATAGGGGGAATTTTTTTTTTCTTTTCAAGTGAAAATGGTATTTGAAATTTTAGAGTTGTATTTGGACATGAATATAATTTTGAGTTATTTTTGAAGTTTTGTGAGTGATTTGAGTGAAAATTTTGAAAAACAGCTTTTTGGAGTTTTTTAAATTTTTGAAAATTTTCAAAATGTATCTTAAAGTGTGAAAATTTTATGAACAAATGCTGATTTCGGAAAAAAGTAAAAATTTTTTAGGAAAAAAAATAAATTTCTTATGTCCAAACGGGCTCTAAATAATTTAGGAAAGAGGGAACATCAAAAAGTTGTGATTTATGTGAAGGCTTTTCCAGACATTTAAAAGTAAAATTATCATTTCATTTGTTTCCTTTAATGGATTGTACGAAGTACTCCAAAACTAATTCAAGGGTTATTGTGCCCTAATGCTGATATAGTTTAAGTGAGATCAGTCAGAAAAGTTGTTAAATAATTCACATCTATTTACGCTCCGGTACCAATTTAATCTTCCAAGTGAAATTCTACATTTCTTTTTTCCTGGACTTAGGTGTAGAAAAATTAGTTTGTCTTTGCTCCCATTTGGATTATTCATGTAAAGTTAAACATCATGCAGGTATTCACACAGACATAGCTGGAGCAAAACAAGAATACTGGTCATCCCTTGCCCCTTTACCGTTGGAAGTTGTGTTGGAGGCAGGGCAAAAAGCTAAAGATGAGAACTCATTACGTGAGATTTTCGCAAAAGTTAATGTTTATTTCTTGCAACCTAAACCATTTAAAGCCTGTTTTGTTTAACTTATTATTTAAAATAATTTTTTTTGTAGTTTACAATGATCCAGAGGAAAGGGAAGCACTTCCGCATGATCTGAGTGAACTTTCAGGAGACGGGAATGTTGAAAGTATGCTACTAGTGGATAAAGGTCTTCGGGAACTGACATCACTAAAGGTCTTTTACAAATTCTTTTCTTCCATGAACTTTTTCTTTGGATTTTGGTTTATTCAATTTCAGAACTTTTTTATATTGCACATCATATCATTTTTGTGGAGTAGGTTTTAGACTCTTAAGATATTCAAAGTGATCTAGGACCTTTGACATGGGACAAGCATTAACAATGTATATTAAACTTTTTTATAACATTTTACAACATAATTGTGAGAATGCACGAGAGAAAAATCTATTATTGATATTCTATTAAGCCTTTTACAATAACCCTATTTATAACTATACACAATACATATTCTACTCCTATTCCATGTGGGACTAGGGTTATTTACATAACTATCTAACACTCTCTCAAGCCAGTGCATACAAATTATATGTACCCCCGATACGATGTGTGATATCCTCGTTGATCTCCATATTCCCTTGTATAACTGACCCAAGGTATTTGAGACTATCTCTCCTAGGAATGACTTGTGAATCCAACCTCAGATCCCCGTCCACTTCCTGATCCGCACGACTGAACTTGCACTCTAAGTATTCTATTTTGGTTCTGCTCAACTTGAAACTTTTAGACTCTAGGGTCTGCCTCCAAACCTCCAGCCCTGCGTTAACACCGCCTCGCGTCTCATCAATCATAACAATGTCATCTTCGAATAACATGCACTACGACACCTCCTTTTGAATGTGGCGCATCAACACGTCCATAGCCAGTGCAAATAAAAATGGGCTGAGAGCTGACCCCTGATGTAACCCCATCTCAACTGGAAAATGGTTTGACTCCCCTCACATGGACCTCACTAGGGTCTTAGCTCCATCATACATATCCTTAGTCACCCTAATGTATGCATCAGGAACGCCTCTAGACTCCAAACATCTCCATATCACATTTCTAGGTACTTTATCGTAGCCCTTCTCAAGGTCGATGAACACTATATGTAGATCCCTCTTCCTATCCCTATATTGCTCCATCAATCTCCTAACAATGTGAATGGCTTCCGTAGTCGAACGTCCCAGCATAAATCCGAACTAGTTCTCGGAGATAGCTATACTCCTCCGCACCCTCAACTCCACTATCCTTTCCCAGACTTTCATAATGTAGCTTAGCAGCTTGATACCTCGATAGTTGTTGCAATTATGGATATCACCCTTATTTTTGTACAAAGGGATCATCATACTCCATTCATCGGGCATATTCTTCGTCCTGAAAATGGCATTAAATAACCTAGTAAGCCATTTCAAGCTCGCCCTGTCCGCGTTCTTCCAGAACTCCACCGGGTTTTCGTCTGGCCCGGTCGCTCTTCCCCTGCGCATCTTACGCATAACCCCTCCGACCTCCTCAACTCTTATACGCCTACAATACCCGAAGTCTTTACGACTCTCAGAGTGTTCCAATTCACCCAGGATAATGCTCTTGCCCCCCTCATCATTCAAGAGTTTATGAAAGTAGGTGTGCCATCTCCGACGAATAAGTGCCTCATCCAACAATACTCTACCATCCTCGTCTTTAATAAACTTCTCCTGGGCCAAGTCACGAGCCTTCCTTTCTCTTACCTTAGCTAGTTTGTACAACTTCTTATCCCTGCCTTTGCCCCCCAAGTTTAGCATATAATCGTCCAAACGCTGCAGTCTTAGCTGCCGCAACCGCTAACTTCGCCTTCGTCTTAGCCACCTTATACAACTCCCTATTCTTCCTCCTCACCTCCTCGCCAATGCTCTCCAGTAACTTAAAATATGCCACTTTATTGTTTTCTACTTTTTCTTGGACCTCGTCATTTCACTACCAGTCCCATTTGTGACCACCCGAATAGCCCCTCGAGACCCCTAATATCCTGCTAGCAGCTTCCCTAATCCTATTCGCAGTCGCGGTCCACATACCACTTGCGTCCCCAGTACTCCTCCAAGCCCCCATTGCCAGCAACTTGTCCTTCAACTCTTAATTTTTTCCCTAGTCAAGGCTCCTCACTTGATCTTCGGTTGACCAGACACAACCCTCTTTCTCCTCCTCCTTGTGATCTTAAGGTCCATGACCAAAAGCCTATGTTGGATCGTGAGATTCTTACTCGGGATGATTTTGCAATCCGTGCAAAGGCTTATATCGGACTTCCGGACGAGCAGATAATCGATCTTGGTCATGACCACCGAACTTTGGAAAGTGATCAAGTGTTCCACCTTCTTTAGAAAACTTGAGTTGGCTATCACCAAATCAAAAGCTCTAGCAAAATCCAGTAGCGATGTTCTTCCTCTGTTTCTAAATCCAAAACTAAAGCCGTCATGCACATCATCATAACCCCCCGAATTCGCTCCAATGTGGCCATTGAAATCATCTTCTATGGAATTGTTCCAATGAGAGGAGTGGAACAATTCCAGCAAAGCTTTGATGTTTTCTCATACCGAAGCAATTACGGTGAGGATCAAGGAAGTAGACAATAGAAGAGTAGGCAAGGATAATAGGATTACAACCCATGTAGTCTTTTATCAAAAAGGTGCTACCAAACTAGACTAATCCCTTTCGATTACAATGCGACAATTGAAGAGAATACCATTTTCATTTGCTTGCTAACTCCATCCATTTCCCTTTGTTGTATATCTGTGTTGATCCTTTACCCTGGGGGGAGGAAAATCTGAAGAGTTATCAAAGTGTGAGCAGGGAATAAATATGGCCAAAATTGTATGTGGGTCTTTGAGCCCAAACTTCACACTCAGCTTATCCTGAGAGTCACGTCGCTTAGTTTTACTAGACCTTTTAGACCACTTGAGTGATAGTATATTGCCTTTGCAAAATGCAAACTTTTCTTCAACGTTAACCTCTGAAATCATCAAATATTGTTGTTTTACTTGAAGTCAAGCAAGCCAGATAAGTGTTCTTTGTTGATATAGAACCTGATACACTATTCATAAAAGATCCCTAAAAAATTTATCACCATTATATTCAACTGAACTTTGTTTTAAGAATATTTATCTTCAGCGTCTCTGATAAATGCTCTTCCTTTCTCTAAAATGCGAAGAAAATGACAGCACAACTGTTGTTCTTCTTTTGCCATATTAGACTGATTTTCTGTAACAGTGGCCAACATAAATCAGGACTAGTGTAGGTAGCTTTTCTTTTGTTTTTGCTTTCTGTCTTCTTCTTTTTTCTTATTTGTTGCGGGGCAAGAAATTCATGAAATAGTTGGAGAAAGGTCATCCGACAATAATTCTGTAGGACCAAAGATAGTAGATTAATACCAAAGTACTCCCTCCATTTCACTTTGTTTGTCATAGTTTGACTTGGCACAAAGTTTAATAAACGAAGGAAGACCTTTGAAACTTGTGATCTTAAATATGACATAATATTTGTGTGGCTATAAAATTGAAACTTGAGGTTTTAAACATTTTATAGCATTTGTGTGCTATAAAGATTATCATTAATGAAATATTATAATATAGTCATTCTTTTTGGAACAGACTAATAAGGATACAGTGCCAAACAAAACGGAACAGAGGGAGTAATAATTTCAAACTTGTTTCATAATAAATTATAACCTCATTTTTCTTGTCGTATAATCTTGAACGTAAGATGCTAAAGCTTCATGTCTTGTTACTGAACAATGAACGCTGAGCAGAAAGGTTGATGAGAAATCAGTTATAATATCAATGGTCTGGAACTGCTATTCACATGCTTAAAAATGGAAATAAAAGTTGTATTATGTGTTAGAATTTGATGAAATCTCTTGCGTAATTGATTTAATTTTCTGTGAATTTGATGAAATCTCTTGTGTAATTGATTTAGTTTTCTGTTTCATCCTTTTTTTTCCCTTTTTAAAGGTAGAAGGAGCAGTAGCCCTAGCAATGGCCCAACAAAGGCGTCTAACTGCACTCAAAGCTACAGGTAACAGAGTAGATATTCATATTTAACTGTATGGCGTATCTACCTTTATCACATGTTAACTATATTCTTGGGATTCATTCACCAAATATATGTCAGGTATATGTTGAATTTTTTCTTGTTTATCCTAACTGGTTTGGGATTCTGCCTTTGTTGTAGTTTTCACAATTGTGGATGATCCAAAAGTTGAGCGTTAGTTTGTGGAGTTGTTCGGACTTCTATCATATCTCCTTCTCTTTTGGTTATAGGAATTTGCCTCAATGTGTACAATGCTGCATCTCGGATTGGGTTAACTTTTTGAGAGATATATGCATTTGTTGTAGGGTTAAGACTTGGAGCTACTGAACTTTTTTAGTCTCCATGCTGATCATAGTAAACCATCTCAAATCTTGACTGATAGATATAATGACCTGCCGTTACATATGTTATGGCTGCAGATGACATGAGGCTACCAATGGAAGGCCAAAGCTTTTCAGAAGCATTTGGTGAGTTTATTCAAGTTACTGTCAGTCAATTAGCTTACTTTGAACCCTTTGCACAATTGAATCATTTCTCTTTCTTCTTTTTCTTGTTTCAACAGAATAAACATTACTTGCTTTTGATAAGTCATTTTTAATTGCATGACATTCTTCCTTCTATACATATAACATTGGAAAATCTTAACTATTCAAGTTACATTGTGTAACAATAAGTGCATGGCTCAACCCAGAAAGGTATGAATGGGTTTTCTTCGCCATGGTATAAGATTAAGCTTTCTCAAAAATCACCATCGGAGTTCTTGTCAAGGATATAATTTTCACTGCTGTTGACTTAATTTGAGGTGGCTTAACCTATTTCCTTGCTGTTATTGAGATATCCTATATTCAATGCCAAATTGAGAGCCTTTCGCTCGGGAAGTGAATTAATTCTAGTTTAACAAACCATGTGATTCGAGTACTTTTGATACACCACTACGCAATAATCTAATGTCGAGTTTTTAGTTCAGGTTTAGCCATTCCATTCATTGTATCTCCAATTTTGCCTATATTTTCAAAAGGAGTGGTTAGTAGATATTAGCATTAGAACTTTCTTTGCTACCTCGTATTACTAATATTATGTCTGTATCACAGAATTGAGTCCGGAGGAGACAGAAGATGTGCAATTTAAGCAGGTATTTGACATTTTGACTCTTTAATTAATTCTTCACATTGACTTTCCCTCTTTTTTCCACCTTCCGTCTTCCCTTGAGGCTATTACTTACTTGCTGGTTAGAAAACCTTTGAATAACTAAAACTGCGTAATTATTGCTCATTGATTTTGAATTGTGCATAACTTCTCTGACGAAATATTCAAAAAATAAAAATAACTAGTAATCCCTCCGTTTCAAATTAGATGAGGTACTTTCCTTTTTAGTTTGTTCAAAAACAAATGACACATTTTTAAATTTAGAAATAATTCAACTTTAAAATCTTCATTTTGGCCATTTTACCCTTGATGAGAAACTTTTATAACCACAAAAATATTATGGTCCCACAAAGCTTTTACCCCTTAAGCTTTTAAAACCACAAGTTTAAAAGTTTTCTTTTATTTCTTAAACTCCGTGCCGAGTCAAACTATCTTATCTAAATTGAAACGGAGGGAGTATATGATTAAAGATTGTTTTTGTTTTCTTTATCTGTGATAGAATCCGGGTGACAATTTTGTCTCTGTAAGAAAACCAATGACTATATAGGCTAAACGATCCATTTCAAAATAGATACTACTATTCTTCATAAAAACAAAAGCTATTTTATAAGAATTATAGTGGGGGCTCTCTAAGCTTACAAGCTACAATTGAATAAGAGGTCTCAATTGTCCCCCTCTCTTTTCTCTTGTTAATCATTTACTCCATCCATTTCAATTTATGTGAACCTGTTTGACTGGGCACGAAGTTTAAGAAAAAATAAAGACTTTTGGAATCTGTGGTCCTAAACAAGTCAAAAAGGGGCTCAGAGTATTTGTGTGGTTATAAAAGTTTCTCATTAAGAGTAGAATTATAAGTTTAAGCTAAATTGTTTTCAAATTTAGTAATGGGTCATTCTTTTTGGAACGGACCAAAAAAAAAATAGGTTCAGAGATACTATGAGTTTGTTGTGCTCGTTATTGGAAAATTAATTTAAAAATAGATGTTATACACTTGTTTTGAATTTCTTTCCGATTCCCATTACGTAGTCAAAGATTCTCTTTTGGTATTATTCTTTCAGGCGTGGCTCACATACTTGTGGAGAAGAACCAAAAATCATGGAGTGGAACCAGATATTGCAGAGGAGAGATTACAGTTTTGGATTAACCAAGGTGGTCAACCTCTCACTTCACATGATGCTGTTCATGGTAAGAGATTCTCCCTCTCCTCTCAATCTACAAGGAGAATAATGAATATAGGGGGAAAAAAGAGTAATAACTGATTGACTACTTTGGAGGCGCAGTTGCAGTTAAACATATTAATAGTCTGTTTGGTACACTCTACCCCAGACCCCACATGTAGGATTACCCCGGGTTGTTGTTGTAGCCAGACAACAAAATATATCCACTTCTAACGCAAATAACTTAATGAAGTTTTTCTTTCACTTTGCAGTCGAGCGTGGCCTCATAGAGCTCAAGAAATTGGGGATTGAAACCCAATTATGGAAAGAATCTCGCCGATCGATAGATCCAGAAAACACCCAAAAAATGCAAAAGGAAAATGATTTTTGACAATGAGTTGTTTCTCTCTCTTTCCCATCAATAATCTTTTTATTCATTTGGTGAATACCATTATTTGCTGCACATATCTTAGTGTAGATTCTCAAGTCCTATTTGTCGTTGTATGTGGATGAGGCTTAAGCTATTTTGATGTGTTTCCACTAAAAGAGACAGCCAGAATATGCAATCGACAATTGAAGAACCATCAAGCTATGCGTGGTGGTAAAGGTTTCCTCACCCATAATCAATGAAAATTCCTTTGGGAGAGCGCTAACACCATCCATAGTAGAATATGTCTTGAATACTTGAATACCAGATGGTTAAAAAACAATTGAAGATATTCACTTTGACCGATTGCTAAAAAATTCGCCATGAGGTTTCTCTTTTGTCTCGTCGAAAAATCTGAATTATCATAACATATATTAATTGATTTTTTCTACTTTTCGACTCTTTTTGATATATGATATTTTACATTTTGACAATCTTGTCTGTAGTTTAATCTTGTCTAATATTCAAACATAACTTAATACTCGCGACAAATGAAAATTTTATTTTCTAAAATTAACTTTTTGTACTGTAGAACTTAGATATTGAAAAGACTATATCGATGGATGTAATCATAGCAACATTTTTTTATCAAATTTGTAAACATGTTATTGAATTACATATATAACAACCAATTCAAGAAAACATATTCAAATGAATATACCAACAGGTGCCTAAAGCCATAGCTTAATATGATGCCTAAATTTTTAAAAGAAAGTTATAAGATATGTTTTTATTTGNGCAGGTGCCTAACCATAGCTTAATATGAGGCCTAAATTTCTAAAAGAAAGTTATAAGATATGTTTTTATTTGAAGTCTATTCTACTAACATTTTGATATATAAAGTTGTTAATAATTTTTTTATAATAGATTTTCTCTAATAGTTCATGTTCAATTGATAATATAATCAACCCATTTAATCTTTCTTGAGATATTGTTGATCTTAGATAAGATTTTACAGAGCAATAGAAGTATAGAACTATTGAAAACTTAAAAGTATTATCGAACACTTTCCCTCGACCTGACCTTACATAGATACCTTTCGATCGAAGTATTGTTATCTCGACCAGTCCGTACGACTGACTTAATAGGTTTCGACCGCATACAGATAGTCCCCTCGTTTCTCGGAGAGGATGTGACGAGAAACGACATGATTTCCCATGGTATGATTAGACATATATTGACATCAGTATCAAGTCTGACCATGAAGTACAAGGTAGCTGTCCCGTCGGTTCAACTTACCGAGGCATTTAATGCGTGCCAGTCGATGTCGGCCATTATGTGAGAATGAACCGCCTCTGTTTAGCCAATAAATAGCCCGTCCTAAATCAAACTTAATATGTAATCAAAAAAACCCCAAATTTTCTTACTCTTTCCGCCTCCATTTCGTCGTTGGTAGAGCCACCTCCATCAGCGTTTGACACCATAATCCTTTTATCTTACTTTGCTTTTCTTTTACTTATACCTTATGGCAAAAACTTCAAAAATCATACCGCTGAAGGAGAAAGCTTCCTCTTCTCGGCCGTTCGGCGATAAGGCGCCGGCGGAACCGCTTCCCCATGAGTATGTTCCTGGCCCGTGTATTCTAAAGGCCAATTTTAAGGTTGAGAATCCTTCATCGGTTCCGGGCCGATGTGAGCATGTGTCGATGTATATGTGCTCGATAACATAGGGCCATCTCGAGGCCGTGAGGAAGGACTGCAACTGGGGTCCCGAGGTTGTGCTGCAAATTCCTTCTCCCGAAGAGAGCATCATCACTCACGTGGAAAGGTTTTTAAGTGNGGATTTTTTAAGTGTTTACACTTACCCCTTCACGTTGGGTCCCGTCGATCCTATGATCATCGATTTTTGCAGAAGATATCAGGTCACCCTCTGTCAAATTCATCCTTCTCTATGGCGCATAGTAATCTTACTTCGCTTTTTCTCCAACAAGGTCGGGGAGTTGGATTTCACCCTAAATCACCTCATACGATTGTATCGGCCTCAAAACTTTCAAGGACTAATCATGCTCTATCGTCGGGCATCGAAATCTTTAATATTGAGCATCGATGAAGATAAGGATCAGGATTGGATGGGCCGTTATATTCGGGTGAGGACCCGTGACCTTATCCCAGAAGAGAAGATGTCGTTCCCTGAGGAATAGAATTTCGACCGTAAGTGATTTTCATAAGGCGTTGCTTTTCGTACCTTTATATGATTCTATCTGATATATCCCTCCGATATACAACTGCCCCTTGGATGCCACAAGCGGTACCCGACCTCGAGGATTGGGTTCGAAAGTTAGCCTCGACTTCCTCTTATGCCGAACACGCTTGGCGTGATTTGGCGAAAGGTAGGTGGGAGGCCAAGAATCATGGTAAGGGTCACTTCTCATGTTTTTTGAAATATTTTTTGTGCTCCATTCGTTACTGACTTCCTTTTATGCAGGCGTGACCAAGGATGCCGTTTTGAGGCCTTCGAGTGGTGAGGAAGGAACCAAGTCCCTGATTCCGAAATAGGGGAAAGATAGAAAACGAAAAACTGCCTCTCAGTCCGAGGACACTAAATCCAAAACTCGAAGGGTGAAGAAAAAGGTAATCGCTCTTACGATGGACACGGTCCAACGACTGAGAGATGAAGAAGAAGAAGAAGAAGAAGAAGAAGAAGAAGAAGAAGAAGAAGAAGAGGAAGAAGCTTTGGCACTCGACGTCGTCAGACCTTCCGAGCCGATGATAGCTACACCGGACGGGGTCGGTTCTGATAGCCCAAGGGTCGATCAGTGAGTCCCGAGCGATTTTCTCGGGACCATGACAGTGGGCCACTTGCCTTCTCTTCCGACCTTTTCCGAGGAGGTGTTAAGGGAAGCTCGAGAATTGAAGACCCCCGATATGGGCGGAGGCTCTAGTGTAGGGAACCCTTTAGTGGATTGCTTTGCTGGAGTCGATGATGCCTCCGATATTAATGATGCTTCTATTCTCCTAGAAGAGGCCCAACGTTTCATTTCTTGGGTAATGATTTTACTTCGCTTGGTTTCTTCGTTCTTTTCTAAGCATGACTTGCATTTTTTTCCTTTTGTGTAGGCCCTTAGCAAGTTTCGAGTCGATCTCAGCCAGTGTGAGGCCGAGCTTCAAAAGGTCTCGGGGGAGAGAGATGCTCTGAAGCTTTTTTGTGGCCAAAAGAAAGAGGTTATAAAGGACCTCCAAGCAGATTTGGCCAAGGCTCATGAAGAAGAGGCCGAACTGGATAAACAGGTGAGCATCGTTCTTTTAGAGTATGGATTCGACCCAACTGTGGAAGCTAACCCTTCGTTATCTCAGCTGCAATAAAAGGTTGAGAAGATCAGGTTGCTTCGGGGAGAAGTCAATCAGATCAAGGCCGAGTGTGATCGGTGGAAGGCGACTATGGACAGCCTAGCTATAGAAAAAGAAACCATCTTGGCCAAACTATTATCGGCCAATGTTCAACTTCGGGGTATCAAGCATAAAGGTTTGGCCCAGGCCAGGAGGATCTAGGAGCTGAGATAGGGCTTGCTGAGGCCAAAGCGGAGATCGAGTCATCAAAAGTCATGGCGGACAAGTCCATTGCTGTGTATCGGGCCGATGTCGAGGCTGCTCGAATGCAGCTAAGGGAGGCTTCTGATCGGGAGCAACGAGTTACTGACTTGGCAAAGTGCCAATCTCGGAGGGAAACCCTCGAGGAAATCCACACTCGAGATTTTGAACTTTTCGAGGAGATCGCTAAGGCGCTCCAAGCTGAAGCAAGGCAGCTTGTCTCTTTTGACGACGACAATGATGATGATGAAGGTACTCGGGGCGGGTCCGATGAAAAGCCTGAAGAAGAACCAGCTCCTGAAGGAGACATTGACACCGGCCGTAGTTAGGAATTAGTTTCTCTTTTGCAAACTTTTGACTGTTCTCTTTGTACATACCCCCTTTTATTAATAATAGAGCTTCTTTTGAATGTCTTCTCATTTTCATGCTCGAATGTGTTTTTGCTTTTGTGAAGATTTTGTTATTGCTCGAACGAGTTATCTTGAATTTTGGAGTAATGGAACCCTTTTGGTCTATTCTAAGCAAGAATAGAGCCTCAAACTCTCGCTGTGTTGGTCCCTAAGCTTAATAATTGTGTGAGTGATTATTTTGAGCTTGAAGTAAGATAGCTCTTAGGTTTAATAATTGAGTGAGTGATTGCTTTGAACTCGAACTCGATGTATCTTAGCCCGTAGGATTTTTATGATCGAGTGAGTGGTTCGCTCGAACTCGATGTAAGATAGCCCTTAGGCTTAATGATTGAGTGAGTGTTTGCTTCGAACTCGAACTCAAAGTATCTTAGCCCGTGGGCTTTTTATGATCGGGTGAGCGGTTCGCTCGAACTCGATGTAAGATAGCCTTTAGGCTTAATGATTGAGTGAGTGTTTGCTTCGAATTCGAACTCAAAGTATCTTAGCCCCTAGGCTTTTTATGATCGGGTGAGCGGTTCGCTCGATCTCGATGTAAGATAGCCTTTAGGCTTAATGATTGAGTGAGTGATTGTTTCGAACTCGAACTCGATGTAAGATAGCCCTTAGGCTTAATGATTGAGTCAGTGTTTGCTTCGAACTTGAACTCAAAGTATCTTAGCCCGTAGGATTTTTATGATCGAGTGAGTGGTTCGCTCGAACTCGATGTAAGATAGCCCTTAGGCTTAATGATTGAGTGAGTGTTTGCTTCGAACTCGAACTCAAAGCATCTTAGCCCGTAGGCTTTTTATGATCGGGTGAGGGATTCGCTCGAACTCGATGTAAGATAGCCCTTAGGCTTAATGATTGAGTGAGTGATTGCTTCGAACTCGAACTCAAAATATCGTAGCCCGTAGGCCTTTTAATGGTGGTTGGCCCTTAAGCATGTTTGAATCATGAAGTAGGAAGATCTTTTCAAAGTAAGAGATATCTGAGAAGAAGAAGGTTTCCTTTATAAGTCATTATGCATATGTTTGTATCTTGTGCCAGAGTTTGAGCAAAACTACATGGGCATGGTTCGTTTTGACCATTTGGCCCTTTCACTTTTCTATATCGAGACCCTGCCTGGCATGAATTTGATATAAAATAACTTTCTTGTGTCGAACTTGATTTATTTGATGGTAGCCCCCCAATATTCGGGGTTTATTATGAAGAAGCCTCAGATACTGTTGAATTGCCTGCAGGTAGCACATAATTGTTGCCTCGTTAAAAACCTTGCCGGAAAAACCCATTTGGGATAAAAG